AAAAAATATTTTTCTTCAAAACTTTTATACTGTTCTAGTTTTGAAATTAAATTTAAAACTAAAATTATTTGAGCTCAAATAATCGGGCTAAATTGACTAATCTACTAACCATACTATTAGCTCAAAAGAATCACGTATTAAAAGAATTAAAATGTATGATTTAATTAGGCATTTTGTCAAATTGCATAATTAAATCATGTTTTATTTTTATTTTATTTTTTTCTTCTGTTTTTTTGTATATGTATACTTAATATTGTATACTTACATATGAATCGCTAACTTGAAAAAGGGGACATGTCACATTTTTCTCAAAATAGTGGTTTTTATTTGATTGTAAAGTATTTCTGTAAGCGCATGTTTAGACAAAAAAAGGAAACATCTTGCTCATATTTAAACATTAATCGGCAGGGCAAAATTATCGTTTACTGTAAAAAGGATATATGTCCAGGACATGTCCTGTTTTTACAGTAAAAATCCAAATTGTTATCTGTCAAATATGTCTGAGACATTTTCTGACTATATAAAATATATCAGACATTTTCTATCAACATTTTTTTGACATTATTTTGTCTAAATGTCAGACATACTTTTTCTCGTCTTAAAATTAAGTGGCAATTAAGAATATATTGGCTGTACAAAAATATTAAATTGCGGTTGTTAATAAATACTTCTTGTAACAACATAACGTTTAAATGGAGACATTTTGTCTGAAGTAGTTTGTTTTATTATCATTATTTGTTTATTGAATTGAAAAAAGTAACAAAAGAAACATAAATTGAAACAGATTACCAAGTAAACTAACAAAATATAAACTAAATGGAGTAACTAATTGGAGACGCAATATCTGAAATAGCTTGTTTTTTATTATTATTTATTGTTTAAGATAAAAAAAATTCAAAATTTTATAGTTTTAAATTTATAACTTTTGAGGTTCAATTTTTATTTAAAAATAAACTAATTTTTTTCTTTTTTTTTGAAAAGAACAATTTTATATTTAGTCATGCTAACAAAAACCACTTATTTTTATTACCTACTATAGATAATAAAAATAAGGTTTCAGATGGTTTTAACATTTTAATAAAGGATACTGCCACTACAGGAGCTTCAATACTAAAGAAGATAAATAGCTGAAAATATCATTTGTTGTTTAGGGTTTTCGATAAAAGAAACTGTGAATCAAGGTGCCCGTATTGCAGTCTTAAGGTGCGATTGGCCCCCATTTTTTACTATTACCTCTTTGTTTCATGTTGATTTTATTATAAAATTTAGCAAGATCTATATTTGCTATTTAAATTGGCCCTTTTTAAGGGGGTAGGGGTGCAAATACGTTATTTTCTGAAATTCTTCTGTCGGGACCCCCTCCCCTAATAAATTTTACGGTAGGAACCTGATCATAATTGATTGTAAAAAGGAAACAGAAAATATGTCATAATTTGTCAAATTGAGCAGCAGAAAATAATTCAAACATAAAACTGTCAAAATAAGTCGATTGAAAATACTTTGGACATATTTTATATTGGCAGAAAATATGTCTGGATATAATATATCCAGACATATTTTCTGCCAACATAAAATATGTCTAGCAGATGATGATTTATGTCTAGCAGATGATGATCAACTAGCAGATGTTGACATTATGCCAACATATCTGCCAGATATATTATGCCGTAACAGCACTGATAAAAATAGTTTAAAGCATTGATTGATAAAAATACTGCTAAAAGCATCACCATATTTTAATTTCAGAATAAGCAGTGTCTATGTTAAACTTTATAAACGCTTTATCTGGTTTATCGTAACGATTTGTGTATTTTAATTGCTTATATTTTATTATGTCTAGTACAGTCAGTCAAAGTAGTTCTCCTAGGAACAAAAAAAGGAAAGGTGTTGTTAATAGTCACGTGTATAAAAAAATGTTATTAAAAAAACAAAACTGTTAGGAAAAGAGCATAAAAAATGTTGGAAAAATTGTTTTTGCTAAACAAGTAGCAATCAGTAGGTAAGTGTTGTATTTTGTTTAATTTTTAAATGAAATTATTCTCGTTTATTTTTGTAAAGGTTTTCTTACTTTTTTATTGCAGTTGCAAATCAAATTTTTTGGATACATTTTCAACTGATGCAATAAAAAAAAATAATGGATATTTTTTACAATATTTCTTCAATAAATGAACTTACATTTACAACTGATGATAGAAGTACAATCTATAAGTCGTAATAGGGGAAGAACAGAAATACCTAAATTTCTGAAAAAGCAAAAATCAAGGACATTGAAATATTATTTACTCCTTGATGGATCAAGAAAGATTGTTTGTAAGAAATTTTTTACTTGATTATGGTATTTCAAGAAAAACAATCAAAAGGCTTGCTGAAGTGCTACTTGACTCCTCTTGGTGGTCGTGGAAAGCATGGGAACAGAAGCAATGCAGTGTCATCAGAAGTAGTTTAGAGCATTCATGAGCAAATAGATTCTTTTCCTACCCATGACTCACTACCCTGGGAAAATTATAAAATATCTAAATTATAAAACTATGTGCAAAATGTATAAAACAAAATATCCTGATAACAGTAATTTTTCTTGAACTTATTTTAATAAAAAATTTTTTGAACTTATTTTAATAAAAATATTAATTTGAAATTTGGAAGGCCAGCAAAAGACTGCTGTGCTCAGTGTGAAGAACTTAATTTAAAAAGTAAAAGCAGTTCTATTAATGAGAATGCTAAATGAGTTGCTGTAGCCGAATTACTAGTGCACAAAGGTCGAGCAAAAAAATTTTACAGCTCTGTCTTAAATTGGTCAAGGAGATTTACTCTGCAGATGATTCAGTTGCTGGCATATCTATCGACTTTAAGGCTAATGTATCACTACCAACCATCCCTGTACAAGACTTGAACTATTTCTGTCAACTTACCATCAATACTTTTGGTATTCATGATATCAACTTAAAAAATATGGTATGCTTATTGAAATATTACTGAACTTAATGAAAGTATGGTACACTTATTGCGAGTTTGATAGGCACAAAGACACAAATGAGGTTTGCAGTTTCTTACATGAAACTTTTTGTTAATAAATGTGAAGAAATTATACATTTTTGCTGATAACTGTGGGGGCCAGAACAAAAACCACACAATTCTTTGCTTTTTTATGGCCTTGGTAGAATAAGGAAAGTTTGACAAGATAATTATAAATTTTCCCATTAGAGGTCACAGCTATATGCCCTGCGATAAAGATTTTGGACTAATAAGTAAAACTTTACTGCGCACTGAGAGATTTTATACTTTATCTCAAAATAAATCTCTGATTCTTCAATCATCAAAACGCCATAAATTTAAATTACAGGAAGTTGATATAAGCAATATCATTGATCATAAACAATGGTGTTCTAGTTACTATAAAAGGCAGACTTTTAGAAATGATTCGTATGGTAAGTCGATTACTTTTAAAACAAAATTTGCAATTTCTTCTTTCCAATAGTTATACATGAATGCATAACTATTGGAAATAAATGAAAAAATCAACATGTACATGTATTTATCATAAATGAAAAAATCAACATGTTAACTGGAAAATGAAGACATGTCCCATATCAAAATTATATTTTTTAGGGACTGATAACATAATACACTATACCATAACAACTAAAAAAACTCATAATATAATTGAAACATTATCTCCTTTGCTTAATATATATTTTTTCTTTAGTTTTTGATTAGTTAGCAATTCATGTTGTAGATATTAAAAATGTGAAATAATTATTAAAATTATTTTCAAATGTTAATAATACTTTTACATGTTAGTTCACCCATATTTTCATATATTATATCAGCCAAACAAATAATTTATAGAAAATTTTGGAATCTTGAAAAATATTACACAGGTCAGGACCTGATTATGATAAAAAGGACTAATAAAATTCTTAATTTTGTATTTTTTTCGTTGTTGTTGTATTTCACAAAATTTTTATTTCTTTTTTACTTTGTAATAGGCAACCTTTTACTACAGTGTGTCAAAATTTTTATACATTAGCATAACAACAATAACAAAAAAACAATTTAGTTAACATTTAAAATTATGAAAAAAAAATCAGTTAAAATTTGCGTTAAATTGTTCAGCAAAATTTACGATTGCTCCATATATTCTAAAAAGTGTTTTGTTATTTGGAAAATGTTTATTATTTAATGGACCTCAGTCATGAAATAAGAATTTTAGAAAATTTTTTCAGCAGATTCTGCAGTGGCCTAACTATGGTAGGCTACTCTAGAATAAAGTAAAAGTGGGAAGGTAGAGAAAAAAGATATAAATTTTTTAAAATGTATTAATGTATGTATAAGAATTTTTCCTGGCTAACATCTTGAATGTCTTAAGACTTCCACTTCTGAAAAGCTAAAGAGGTCTTATACAAGTAGCTGGGTGCTGTTTACATATTATCAACGTGGTTATTATTACTGAGACACCATCTCAAGGATTTGCTCATCAAATAACTTAAAAATAACTGAGTTATAAGTCTAATACCTACTAGCCTTAGCTTAAAAAAGTGAGTTCTACAAACCAGCAGGACTTGCAGTAGGTTGTTAAATGTTAGCTAAATGTTACCAGTAGCAGGGTGATTGTAATGAACCTGATCCTAACCTTATAAAACTGACTTGTAAAAATCCTATGGTTGAACCTATTAAGACTGTTTAATTTTAAAAATATTAGAGTAAATAATTTTTTTTTTTAAATAACATAATAAAATATATAGCTTCTAATTTAATATGGACATTGTTTACTAAATTATCTTATTATCTAAATGTTTTTTTTGTCTATTTTTCTTTATGCTTATACTGTTATTCACTTTAATAAGCTCGGATTTTTAATGTTAGCAATTAATATTATTAATTTGTAGTTTTGTTAATTACTTTGACTAGCTCCAATATATGATGCTAATTATTAAAATTATTAAATTGTAATTTGATTATTTTTTTATTTTTATTTTTTATTTATATTTTTTAAATTATAGCACCTGTCCTTGGTGATACAGAAGATGCATCAGCAGAAGGTGATCACGGAGAAGAGGTTGACAATTTAAACATTGAAGAAGGTAAAAGTTAATATTAATTTAGATTAGTGTACTTAAATGAATTAATATAATGCTTTAGTTTAAGACATTTTTTTTTTTCAATCAAAGTTGAAAAAAAAAAAATAAGATAAAATGAGAAGTAAATGTCATATTTGATAGTTTTACATTTAAAACTGATTTTTGCCTAATACTATCTACATTAAAAATAGTTTTTTTGTTTGATTACCCAAAGTAAAAGTTTTCGGTACGTTTTCAATGATGATAGAATATTTTTTTAATTCAATCTACATCATGATGGCACAACCTTGTAAAATTTAAAAAAGAAATCTTTTAATGTTTGTAAATTACTAATATTTTTTGTTACTAGTCTTTTTCAACAAAATAAGATCATTTTATACAAAATATTTTTATTGGTTTATATCAATATCACTTATTATGCAACAATATCAAATGTTATGTACCAGGATTTATTGTTTTATACAGATTTACAGGTGCTTGTATTCTGGTCCTGGTACGCAAACCAACTTTTGAAAATGTCTGTTTTTAACATAAAATGTAGTATATTATTTACTCAAAATATTTTTTTGATTGTGACATATGCAAATAATTTTTCTGTTCTCTCTTCATAAGATAATGAAGATATAACATCTGAAAAAAGGGCTGAACTTAGGGCTAATGTAGAGCATGCACTGCGAGAAGGCAATTTATACAATGATGCATTGACTGATGAGGAGGAGGAGGGAAATGATTGTCAAGAAGGTTGTGTTTTTTTTTTGTTGATCCTTGATCCATTTTTTACAGCTTTCTGTTAAAGTGTAGCCAAATATCCCAATAAGCTAAAACATCTTAAAACAATATGTTAAAGCTTCAAACATTCTGATATTCTTATTATTTTGTCACTAATTTAAAGACAAACTTTTGCATTTGTTTATATTATTGTATTAAAGTTTTTGAATTGTTAAATATTTTTAGATCTTGAAGGCAACCCCAAAAAATCTTTTGAGGTTTCGGAAGTTTGTGAACAAGGAAAAAATGAAGAAATTGAAGATGAAGAAGAAAATGTTGAAAATGAAGTTACAAAAGAATCAAGTGATTGTGAAGCTGCTGATGATGAGGAGATTACAAATATGCAACTTTCGTGGGAAATGTTTGAACTCTGTTGTATTATATGTAACCGGTTAGTTAAATAATTTACTTAATTTTTCTTTTTTTTTTCTTTTTTTTTTAATGTTGAAATGTTGATTAGTTTGTTTTGAATGATAAAAATTTAGTAAAAAAATTATATAAAATAATAATTATAAAAAAATAAAATTAGAAAAAAAATTTTATGTTATACATTGATTTTAAATGGTCTGAATACTAGAATGATAACTTATGGAGAGGAAAAAAAAGTCAATGAAGCTAAGTCATTTCTGGCAGAAGCTAAGTATGGGTTGGCACAGATAAGTCTTGAATCAGGTAATTTTTATTTAGTTTATTGGTTAGTTTACTATTTTGTAAAAACTGAAAATCATATTTCATACTTGTAATCAAAATGTTCTTGTGTATATTTTGTTAGTAAATAGTATTGTATATGTATTTAAAGAGTATATGTTCATGTGTATACTTTAGTTAGTAAATAGTAACATCTGTAGTTACAGCTGGATTGTTTTTGATTTTTATTTAAATTTAGAACGCTATGATGAATCAGTAGTTGATTTTCAAGCATGTTTGGAACTTTACAAAAATATTTTGACTGATAAAGAGGACCGTAAAATTGCAGAAGTATACTATAATATTGGATTAGCACTCTTATTTGATAAAAAATTTGCTGAAGCAATTACAAACTTTGAACAAGCTGTTTCAGTTTTAGAGGCCAGAGTAAAAATGCTTGAGAATAAAGTTAATGAATCAGAAGAAAATGGGGATAAAGATAAAATAGATGAATATAAAAAAGAAATAACTGAACTAAAAGATCTTGTTCTCCTTGATATGATGGCTAAGGTATTGGTGCCTTTTGAGCTCCTTAAAAACAAAAGTGAATTCCATTATTTATTAAGCTGTTTTAATTTTAGATTGAAGATGCTCAAGAAATGAAAAAGCAAGGTGATGCATCTGTTGATGCAGTTAAAAAGTTTGCAAAAGAGATGTTTAGCGGAATAGTGAGTTTATTGTTATTTTTCTTAAATTTTTTTTTTTACATTATTTATTATAGTTAGTATCAAGGTATAAATTTAATTTTTCAAATATTTTCAAATATTTTTACAACAGTTGTATTTGTTGCACATATTTTGTTACTGCTTGTATAGAGTTTGTTACTGTTTGTATAGAGTTTGTTACTGTTCGTATAGAGTTTGTTACTGTTTATATAGAATTAGTTACTGTTTGTATAAAGTTTGTTATTGTTTGTATAGTGTTTGTTGCTTGTTAAGTTTGTTGTTTTTTATTTATTCAGTATGTTTAAAAATATACTGGTACCTCTAAGAAATAAATTGCTTATTTTTTTTTATTTAAGACGTACTTAAGATATGTATAACAGGTTGAATAAGATAAATACTTATTTATCTCATTTTACTTACTTGACTGTATTTTGTCAATATCGACAAAAGGTTTTGTCAGAATAAATAAATTTAAAGTAATTCATAAGCTTAATTAAACTTGTTTTTAAAAATTTGTGATATAACATATACACAAATTTGTTCTCATTTATTTTTACAAACTAATATTTTACTTTTATGTAACACTTTTTTTGATTTTGTTTTAAATTGCAATTTCTGAATAAAGTTATTTAAAAAGAAAAAGTGTAGCCTATCATCTAAGATAAGCTACCAAATTTAGTAAACTGAGAATAATGGAGCTTAACTTAAGGCAACACCCTATTACATTTTTGTAGTAATAAAAAGATATTTGTTCATTTATAAAAGATGAAAAAATGATTACGATTAAATATAGCAGCTGCTCAAGAAAATTAAAACCATGGAGTAGAATGAGGCTTGACTTGAAACAGACAGGAAGGACTAAAAGCTTTCTTACCTGTCGATATCCAGGAAGTTATTTAGGAGGTGCATTTATCAGGGGAGAAGCAAAAATCATTAGCCCAAAGACCACAAACAAAATCCTAGTTATATGGGTAAGTATTATTATGGTTTATGGTTGTAAGTAGTATGATGAAGAGTTTTTACTTTAATTATTTAAGTTTAACCAAAAAAATCCAAACCTTTTTTAAATCTTTTTTTTTTAACATGCTCTATAGTATGAATGCACTTTGTTTTGAAAGTCTTAAACTTATTTCTTTGTGCTTTGGTTTTGTTTATCAAGGTGTCTTGTTTGTTTTAAAAAGTATAAGGCTTGAGAAAGTGAAGAAAAAAATTTGGTGGACTATGGGACTCTTTGGGTCTTAGCTAGGCAATATATTTCAAAAGAAAAAGTTTAGATATTCGTAAATCCCTTTAAAGAATTTCTTCTAATTTTTTAATAAATTGTTTATAAATATTGACTTTATAAATGACTATTGACCCATAAGAATATTTTTTCTAGTCAAATGGTTTTGAAGAAGGATTTGACCAAGGATTTGATAAAGAGTTTAACAATACAGCTACTTCTAAGGTAAATATTTTTAAGCAATTGTTAGGCTTATTATTATGTAAAACCTGTGTTTTGCTTTAAATAAAGAAATTGGTATAGATTAACAAATAAGAGAATACTCTCATTAACGATCATTAATGAATAAATAGCATTACAATTAATCATGTAGTTTATAAGTGTTAAATTTGTTCATATTAAAATACTATACTAATATAACAGTTATTGTAATAATCGTGAAATAAAGAAATTAAACAAATCATTTTAATCATGATATAAAGAAATTAAGTTGGAAAAAAACAATAATTAATCTTTAGTTAAAAAACTTGTATTACTTTGCAAATGACTACATATAAAAATTTAAAATTTTTGATATTAAGTTAGTGAAAAGCAAATTATTTTAATTTTAAAATAAGAATAGTAAATGAGGGGAAAAGTTAAGTGATGTATGTGCTTACAGTTTTTAATATTTCTTCATAATATAGCAAGTTTCTTGATAAATACCCTCCATCATTATCAATATCTTTTTCATGATACTATTATTTAATGGTTTCAAATACAGTTTAATCACTTTAGTAAAAGAAAGATTATTTTTGATATTTTTTTGGTTAACTTGGTAAGAAAAATTAGTATATTCAAATAAAGGTTTAATTAACTAAAACTTTAGCTCTGTTTCTTTCCTCTTTTATCCCCCTTACCCCTCCTCTCCTCCCCAATCTCTCTTCTGCATCAAATATAACAAAAAAAAATTGAAAAGTATATTCAAATAATAGCTTTATTAAATAAAACTTTGCCTTTACTTCTTCCCTCACCAAATGACTTGTAAATGACAGAGTCCTAGCCTCAGCTAAACAAAAATATTATTCAGAATTATTAGTAATTGCAAGAATATAATTTATCATTTGTTATATATTTATGTATATATTTGTTATATATTTATAGCAAATGTCAGGACTTGAGAAATGGGTCATAGTAAATTATTTTTAGTTGATGATTTAAAAATGATCACTTTTACATGAAAGGTTTTATGGCCTAGTTCTGCATTATAGACTCTAAACTATAACACTAATAGCTCTACATTACAGACTCTAAACTATAACACTAATAATTTTGGTATTTTTTCCAAAACTCAGAATTCCCACATGTTCTGATTTTACATAGGATACCACTATTTTAATTTTAATTTAGCTCTGTGCTCTCCTACCTAAAGTTAAGACATATGGAAGTCTGAAAACTTTATAAAAATATAAAATCTAGTTAATGTCATTTAAAATGAAATTTATGTGAAAAAAAAAAATTTATTACATTTGTAAAAACAGTATTAGTGCAACATTTATCACTTACATCTGTAACAGTACCTCTGCAATGCTAATCAATTTTTGAGAGTGTTATCAATGCTCTTTATTCTTGAACATGATACACATAACTAACCAGTAAGTAGAATGGTTTTTAGATCTAACTCTATCAATTGTTTGACTTAAATGCAATAGAATATGCTAATCTGACAGAATGTTGACATGATTTTACAATGAAGTAAAAACATATACAAAAAAATAAAAACTTGCTTTGTTGAATTGCAGCCGTATTCACATCCCTCCGTTAAACCCTGCGGTATGCTATTGACTGGTTAAATGCAGTTTTTAAACCCAGCAATAAAATAAACTTGTATTCTTATGTCTCCGTTTATTTAACAAGAAAAAATTTAGTTATCAGAAGGCTGTTAATGCCAAAATCTAATCCTGATCTTTCCTTCTGTTAAAACTGCTATCAGGGGAATTTTCTATTAAATTAAGAAAAATAAAAAATGGTATCCAATCAAAACAAGCTTAAACAAATAATTTAATAACAAATAAGCTGTAATTTATATTAAATCAAATTTATATGGTTTATCCTTAAATTCTATGTATTAAATGTATGTATTAAAGCAAATATACATGTACTTGATTTTATATATATATATATATATATATATATATATATATATATATATATATATATATATATATATATATATATATATATATATATATATATATATATATATATATATATATATATATATATATATATACATATATATATATATATATATATATATATATATATATATATATATATATATATATATATATATATATATATATATATATATATATATATATACATATACATATATACATATATACATATATATATATATATATATATATATATATATATATATATATATATATATATATATACAGTGTTTTGTGTTTTTTTTATGTTTTTTACGGCAAATATTGTTATTTTTGGGGGAAAACTGCCAATATTCCGCTAAAGTTCACTGAAACAAAGGGGTACTGCCGCCCAAATTTTTTTCCAAGAATAAGCCCTGATATATATATATATATATATATATATATATATATATACATACATACATACATACATACATACATACATACATACATACATACATACATACATACATACATACATACATACATACATAAGTATCCATAATGACTAAAATGAGAGTGAGAGAAACTCTTGAATAATGACTAAAATCTTAAAAATTCTCCTTTTGAAACAATTTTTGGTTTTATTTAAAAAAATGAAATTAAGTGTTAAGTAGAAACAAACTCATTGAATTTCTCTTATTGTAGAATGTTTTAATTAAATTTAAAACATTTTTAAGCAATCATTATTTATAATATTACCGACTGCGATTTACCAAATAAACAAAATCCTCAGCTGTTGTCATTGCAATGTTTAGATGCAGTGACAAAAACAGCACGAAAAATAGGAATTTTAACTGAAAAAATTATCGGATAGTAAAAAAATTTATGGTTTTAGAGAAATCTCAATTTAAAGTTGACCGGATTTTTCCGTGTCCACCCGATTGTCTAAAAGTTTTTTGTGAAAAACAGTCTGTGCCTTTAAATATAATCCTGAGTTAAAATGTGTTAATAAGATTTCTTTTCTTTCGATAATAATTGAATTTTGGAGAATTTTTTGATCTTCATTGCCTTTATGCAGATGTACCTATACATAATTCAAATTAAATTGCCATTTTTCTCTTCTGGTGATTTTCATCTTCAAAAGCTGTTAGAATTCGGAATCATGCCTAAAGAAATGTGCTCTGCTCAAACTGTTTTTTTTTTTTTTTGTTGTTAAATAACTCCACAATACTTTTTATTCGTATTGTGGAGTCAAAATTGTCTACAATTAATAAGCATCTTTTAATCATGAATTTGTTATTTGGTATGGGTTACCTATATCGTGTTTCGTGAAGTAGCTGGTAATTAATAACGCAAAAAACTCATTGTTAAACATGAGTTAATTCACAGTACAATGTTACTAAGATTTATCAGTATTTATACAGTCTTAAATTGTATCAAACCTGTGTCAGGATCACAAACGTATTTTTTTTTGGTTTTTGTTTTGTTAAAAGATTTTTTTAATAGTCTGTAAAGAGTAGACTTAGCATACCACTGTTCCTGTGATTCATACTTACCAGTTGATTCATATACATTTTGCCGGGAACGCTCCACTTGTTAGTCGATGGATTTACTTATCTATTTGTATTTCTAAGAGAACACAAAGGCAAAAAAAAAAATGCTTCCATAAACAAAAGATTTATGGGAACATAAATATCTACCTTTTCGTATCTGTAAGTTTTTATTCTAATCTAATAATAAATAAAAAAATACACTTCTTAAGACTTCTGTTTTTTCTTTTAATTGTCTTTCACAATTTTGATTAAATTTCAAATAACTCAAAAACAACAGATAAGTTAAGTATACATAAAAGTACTCTTGAAAAAATACCCTTGCTTTTATTATTATCTAGCTAAAAGTTATCATGGACTTGAGATAAAAAGTTTTGTAAAATTTGTGTGAAATCTTTTAAAAATTTCTTTTTATCTTTTTTAGGTTGTGAAAAGTTAATATATAGTTGTTGTTTTTTTAATTAATTACGAATTTATTGATTGCGCGTTCCATAAACAATACGCATAATGTTTTTATACCAATAAAAATTGTATTTTCCGAATTGTCTTGGTAAACTGATGTGAGAAGTCGGGTTAGTTTTTTCAAATTCATATTAGCTTTAATTCTAGTTAGCACGCCCGTAAGCATTTATGCACATTCGCGCCCAGGCAAGTTTTGCAACGAATCTATATTTACAACAGAATTTGTAAAATTATTTTGCACTACACCTTTTCAAGATGTAATTGAGAAAACAAAAATTGTAATTAAGAATCGTAAGATGTAATTGAGAAAACAAAAGTTGTAATTAAGAAACGTAAGATGTAATTGAGAAAACGTAAGTTGTAATTAAGAAACATAAGATGTAATTTAGAAAACGAAAATTGTAATTAAGAATCGTAACATGTAATTGAGAAAATGTAAGTTGTAATCAAGAAATAGAAAGATGTAATTGAGAACACGAAAATTTAGATATCGCTTAAAAGGAGTAAGTGTAAAATGGCGCTTAAAAAAAATGGAGCGTATAAAATGACGCACTTAAAAATGACGCAAGATTTGTAGCGTAAATTTAATTTTTTAGGGAAAAATTTATAATTTTTGGGCAAATGAATTTAACATAATAAACACTAAAAACATTTTAGGGAAAAATTTATAATTCAATTAAAAATTATAATTAAAAATTTTATAATTAAAAATCACTTCATTTATCATTTAAGCACCAACTACGTCTTCCATATTTAAAATAGTTGCATAGTGCGTGGTTGTGTGTTGTACCGCACGTGCACAATCTCCTCCCATTATAGTATTTTTCGCCTCAATTACAATTCGTTCTAAGTACTGCATGCGCTGTTCCGCAATCCCGTCACCTAATACAGGTGGATTGCGAATTGTATTTTTAACGTTACTTTTAATTTTGGACCAGATCGTTTCCACCGGGTTCAACATTGGACTGTAAGGTCCCAAACGTAACAACTGAGCTGGTGAATTATCAAACACCCTTTGCAAACGAGCGTGACAAGGAGCATTATCTGTTACGACGACCAAATCCTCCAAACGATTCCCGGATGTAACCCACTGGTGAAACATAGCCAACAACCACTCGTTACAGGAATCTGCTTTAAATGATCCCCTGCGAGTTTCTATCATGACGACATTTGTAGTTGAAATAGCTGCGATCAAGTGTATGTTTAAATCTTTTGAAGCAGGTACTTTCATAATTGCTCTTTTTCCTTGTCTCGCGCGTCCTTGCGTTTTTCTACAAAAAAGGTTAAAATTTGTTTCATCCAACCAAACTATCTGACGACCATTTGTGATATGTTCGTTGATGTTTCTAACATATTCAGCTCTTTTTTGTTTGTTTTCATAACTGTTCATTGTAGAAGGCTCCTTGTGCACTTTTTTTAATGAGAACAATCTGCCTTCGAGGTAATTTGCTATTGTTGTTGTGCTAACGTTTATGTTAAATTGTCTTAATATCTTTGTTTTGATGGCCACCAATGTTAATTGACAATCATTTTTAATCCATGTTAATGTTTCTTCGATTTGATCTTCGGTCAACTTTTTCGGTTTAAAACATCCTTTTCCGAAGAAATTTGAATTTCCGCTGCGAACCCAATTGTATGCTGTCTTATATTTGATACCTAGCGTTTGCGCGAGATTCACCCAATCTTCAAATCGCTCCGCACATTCAACAACTCTTCTCCTGTCATTTGGAGAAGATAAAACGTAACGTTTCCTTTCAACTTGTTCAGTTGTGTGTATTTCATGCCGACAAATCGGACAACTTGAATCTGGTTGTTCCAGAACTGGACGTAAACAAATTTGGTGACATAAATGTTGACACGGATTTAGCTTAATCACAGACTTTCGGGTCAGAGTGTATTGGCATATAACACAACGATCTTTCAATTCCATTATTATTACTTGTGCATACAAAAGCAAAATTTAAGATTATAACTTAAATTCATGTCCAAAAAGACCTTTTGTAACAACCTACAAACTTAGACTGAATTTGCTATTTTAATTTATGTGTTCTCAATTACAAGTTACGATTTCTTAATTACATATTATGATTTCTCAATTATATCTTACGTTTTCTCAATTACATGTTGTGTTTCTTAATTACATGTTACGACTTCTTATTTACATGTTGTGTTTCTCAATTACATATAACGTTTTCTCAATTACATGTTGTGTTTCTTAATTACATATTACGACTTTTTTAATTACAACTTTCATGTTCTCATTTACATCTTGAAAAGGTGTAGTTTGCCAACTCGCGCTTTGGCGAATCTGAAACGCATTTGCACTTAAATAAATATTTTTAATAGAGTTATCGCATTTAAGCCTGATCACACTTATTAAAATTTATTTTAAAGTATTCTACTAGAAGTGCAAAAAGATCTTGAAAGCGTAAAATTTATTTTTAGGATGTGATAAACGATATTGGTTTTAAAGTTCGTTCTATAAAAGTAATTATTTATTTATTTTAAAATTACTACTTGATTATCAACTAATTTGCAGTTAGTTATATTTATTTAAATTTAATATTGTTGCAATTTTTTCCTTATTGAACATGTTTTAATATTTTAGAGAAAGTCGGAGGACGAATTTCCGCCAAGTGAAGCTAAAAAGTTCAAACCATCAAATGATGCGTCTACTGACGAGCTTTAGAGAAGACAAGCATTGTAGTGGGAAATGATATGCCTTAGTAACTGAAAGCGCTTGAATGAGCTGCGCAGCTTGAGTTATGTATTAATCAAGTCAGATAGTTTGATAAATTTGCTAGCTAAAGGTTGCGATTACAAACATCTTGAGGAAAAGTTTTGAAAAATAACTGTTAAACTCGTTTAAACTTTTTTTTTTTTTCAATTAAAAAAAAAAAACCCTTTCTTTTTCAGAATCCATAAAGAACGATTAAAGTTAACATGCATCTTGTAAATATATTGCTAACGTTAATTTTTAAATGTATGATTTTAACACAAAAAGATATTTCTTTTAAAATTCTGTTTTTGTTACAATTGAAACTTTTTTTTTTTTTATCATATGAGTAGTAAATATTTAAAATTGTTTATGTTGAAGTATAAAACGGTTTTAAAACTTTTAATACCTTGTCCAGCAATTTTCAATGTCTTTAAGACGTCGTCTGGAGTTTTCTTTAAGACGCCGTCTGGAGTTTTCTTTAAGACGCCATCAGGACATGTGGTGTTACTGAGTTTTTATTAAAATTTAAGATTTTTGATAAAAATCCCTTTTTAAATGCTTGCGAAAAAAGTGCTAAACGATTTGCCTGTTTTCCTTAGAATATAAACTTGAAGTTGTTTAACTAACTTACACGGAAAAAAATTTTTGATAAAAGTTATTAGTCAGACTGATAAGTATCAATTCTTATAATGCGGCCGTAGCGCTGTGGTTAGAGCGCTTGCTTCATATGCACGAAAACCAGGTTCGAAACGACCTTTGGACATATAATCGCGTCACGGTAAGGAAGGCGGCGTGAACTTCCTGGTTAAATGCACTTCCGCGGTGCTCTTTGACAAGATCGTTGGGGCACCTAAAAAATAAAATCTTAAGGTTCGGACTATTGTACTTGTAATGAAAACAATAACTATTGTTATTGTTTAAACTTTTTTAGAAACAATAACAATACTTGTGAATGACAATTATTTTAATAATACAATAAACATTGTATTGCGATTTATCTTCATAATACAATAACAATATCTGGAAAAAAAAATGTAATGCAATGACCCACTACAATAACAATAGTTATTGTATTGTAATTCATCTTTATAATACAATGATATTTATTGTTATTGTAATTAAAAAAAACTATTATAATGTCAAATTTTAATAAATGTTTTAACAGTCTAGTCTCCGAGATATGTGACCTTGAAATAAGGTACAACTAATATATAATTATTGATTCTATTTAATTTACTGAATATCACTTGTCCTCGTTGCAAATTTTATATAGCTCTATAAAAGAAATTTTGATCTGACATGTACTTCTTTTACTGCTGGGAATAAACATGACCAATTACTACCATTTCTTCCATTTAGTTATTTGCTTTTATATAAGGCGCCTATTCAATTGTTTCGAAACTTACTCAACTAACACTCTTATATCTTTGTTTTGTTTTTTTGTCTTTTGTTTGCCTGAGGCTTTTATGGCTGTATGTGTTTCATAAAGTAACTAGACTTTTGAATATAGTTACAAAGTTATACAAGAATTTTGTTACATAAATCAAGAACAATATTTATTTGGTACTCTAAACTACCTTGTTTTTCAAAAATGACCCCCTGCAAAATTTTCTGCTAGGGTGATGATAGGTGAAGAACAATCTGAAAATGTAGAAAATTTTTTTGCAAAACAAAAGTAGTTCACATTTTTAGACAATCTAATCGATAAATACCCAGGTCAATGGTTCTCTGATTCCATAACGCTGTAATTTATTAAACATTAGCACTTAATTATATTGAAGAAAAAAAATTATTTTCACGCGCTTTTTGTAGTTAATTAGTTTAGACGTCATCATCCGGTGAAACATTTAAGACAAAATTATAAAAAAATCAAAAATTTCACTTCACAAAGTAAATAATTATTTAATTACAAGCATATGAATTAAATATTTGTATGACTTTGAATGAATATCATTAACCTTAATTCTAAATAAATTATTGTTTAAACAGTTATATTATTCAACTCAAAATAAATAAAATTTATATATGTAAATGGTTGTTGGAAACGGATGCCATGAACGCCCCTGAACTTAATATTTTTTAAGTTTACTTAGTATACTTCTTTGGCTTTCCTAGCTTTTCAAAATAAATTCACTTTTCAAAATAAATAAAATTTATATTCATAAATGCCCAAATAATAATAAACGCGCGGAAAAAGAATCTAAATATTTTAGAATACAATAGCTATTATACTTTGAAATAGTAATACAATACAACACATTACTTTTTGAAATTGTTTTTTATCCCAGCAATACAATACAAAAGCATTTTTTACATTGTGTTACGTCTCACAGCAATACAATACAATAGTTTTAGAACTTCAATGTATTGTTAGAAAAAAAGCAATGCAATAGTTATTGTAACTGTTATTAATCACAAATTGTGAGTCCAAATAATCGTATTTTCAGTTATCCGGGTAATCGAGTATTTGTTTTTTTCATCCGGGTATCCGGGTAAAGCAAAAAAAATTTACCCACACCATGTTGTGTTAATTAAATTTAAAATAAATTGTAACAATTTTAGTTTTAAATCTATTTTTTATTTAAAAAATAATACTTTAAAAATACAAGTTTGTCGACCGTTTCCATTTTCAACTGATTTCGGGTTTTTGTGACAAAAGCTGTAGCTACCAAAAACACTCTTTCACTTACTGTTAACGTTGGTTGTATTGTCAATAATGCTGTAAAGAGTTTTCCAATAGAGTCACCTCGTTTTGAACAATCTTTCTCCCATAACTTCATTTCTTTTTTTAATGTGGATTTTATCTCATTATTTTCTTTCGGAACAGTCATAATTAATTCAATTGTTTTTTGGAGTTCATCATAATTTGAAACCAAACCATTATTTGAAATTATTTCTTCATTTTCAATTGTTAACTCTGTATCCATCTGTGTGTTTGCAGGATCTTCATTGAACAGCCCTTTGAAGGTTTCTTTAGCCAATAAATGAATAGAACTTTTTTCTAAATAAGTAAAATGGCAGTTAATATCTGGTTTAGGATAATTTCCAGATTGTAAAAAACGCAAGAGTGATACAAAATCCTCATTTCGTCTTTCTTCAATTCTTTTCTTCAAAGCAGTGAACATTTCCATGGCTAACTGCGTATTTGTTTCTTTTAGTTTGTTTAGCAAAAAAATGCATACTCCTTCAGCTTTTAAAAGATTATTATCTTTACTGAGCTCTTTAACAGCAAGCTCAACCGGTTGTAAAACATGAGATATTTCTTCTAAAACTTTGATATTTTTTTCTGAACATTTTTGCTGACCTAATTCCATTAGAGCCTTTTGTATACAATCGTATATTTTTATGAAACGATTTACCATTGGTATTATTGAGTTCCATCTTGTTTTGCAATCGAGTAGCAATCGTAACTTATCGCCTTCTTGATCTATTATATGCTTTTCAAGAACACTGCGTCGAACTGAAGAATATTTGAAAAATTTAATAATTTTTCGTGTTTCATCAAGAATTTTGCCAATGTCTTCACGAAAGATTGGTGATTGTCTAACTGAATCATTTTGGAAATTTAAGTTACCATCAAAAGCAAATGCATCAGCTACCTCATCATTTTGTTCGGTAGTTTCAACACAATCATCATCTGCTAAATTCTCATCATCTTGGAAATTTGTATCAATTACCGCATCATCATTCGTTATTAATTTCCCGCTTTTTTTATAACATCAAGTACAGCAAGATGTATAGCATGGTTGTAGCATAACTGAGAAAATGGTAAAATATTTTTCCCATATTTTACTATGACTGATGCTCCATCATGTGTGGATCCGACGATATCATTATCCATTTCAATTCCATAATCTTTAAGTTTTGCTTTTACCAAATCGATAGTAGCATTTGAATCACAAGAACCTATTATTGCAGATAGACCCAAGACTACAGGTGGCTTTGTTGCTGAATGAAGAGTGATATTCATGAACCTTCTAACGTTTATATCACTCCATTCATCGACAGTAGTGCTGAATCTCTCTCCTGATTTTTTTTGCTCTAATAACGACGCCATTAATTCTTCTTTTTTTTCTTTATAAAAATCCATTATATATTTCATTACCGTTGTATTGTGATTCACAACAATACAATAACAATAAATAATGTTATAATTACATCTCTGGTATTACAATACAATAATATTGTATTGTAATGCGTTATTGTATTTAATTTTTACAATTAGAATTACAATAGTCTGAACCCTACTAACTATAATAAGCCACAGAGTATCAGGTTTATCTAATTTAATTGATTATATTTAACGAGTAGCCGTAACGCAGTGCATTAGATTTTAGGCTCAGTTCAATTAGTAAGCCTTGATTTTGCTAGCCTTTAATTGAGCCACTTGCTAGTTCTATTTAGCAGCTATGGTGCAAAGGTAAGGGTTCTGGATCAGAACCAAAAAGCTCGTGATTCAAAGCAAGCTCTAGCCCAAATACCGACAGGTACTCTCGAGTCCTTAATAAATTGGTGGGAGACGTTTATTAATTTTTGCAAAATTTTCCCACCCACCTCAAGCTTATTAAGACCCCATGTTTATTAATTTTTACTTGTTATCAAAAAAAATCAGTGAAAATCCTGACGGCCATAACTGATAAAAACAACAACTTTCAGTGTAAACAGTAGGGTTATGACTTTTTTTTTTTTTTCTAATAATTTCCTGCGTCATAAATCGATAAACTTTTATTAGAAAACATTGAAAACATGTTCAATTCCTCTCGGTTGTAAAAAAAAGGTCACCCCACAATTCAAATTACGTTTCGTCATTTATTTAATCTTGTTACTGCTACTACTAATTTCCGGCAAATCCTTTAAAACTTCTATAGATTAGAAGCGTTTAGAACTTTAGAACATTTTGGAAAATAACAGAATATTTTAGAAGACTTTAGAACATTCTAAAACAATTTAAAATATTTTGGAGCATTCTAGAACAATTGAGAACATTCTGGAATATTCAAGAACATTTTAGACTATATATATAGCTGCTCATCTAATTTTATAATTATTACAAAAGCAACTCATGGCGTTGTACAAGCCTAGCGATAGTCGCATTCAGAAGAACAAGGATGTCTGGACCAATAATCTGGTAAAATTTGAAGACTCATAAAAGAAGAAGAATGGTCCCTTCGGAACAATATTCACTGGAAGAAAAGTACAGAATGCCTCTACAAAAACAAAATCGGACGCTACCATTTCCTAGGACCAAAAATTAAAGGAAGAAAGGAGCGAATAGCGGAAATTTCCAAAGATGTCACCAA